GGATGGCCCAAAGCTTTGGGACCCTGCACCCGTGTGGGATACCCGGAGGAAGTTCCTGGATCCTGGCTTCGGATCGGCATAGCATTGGCGGTTGCGCTCACTTGGGGAGTGAATCATCGGACAGAAGATCTTCCTCTCTGTCTCTCCTCCTCTCTGTATATCTGACTTTCCAATAAATAAATAAATCTTTAAAAATATATCTATATATATAGATATATATATATTTTTTTACTTCTTTTCATATACTTGAAGAGGAAAGAGAGAGACTTAGTCCTTCTCAGGGTTCCAACAGCATCTGGCAGCAAGAGTAGAATGTGATTTGAGAAGTTGCAGGAGGGCCAGCATGCTCCCTTAGCACCCTCTATAACCCATGTAAAGATTTCAAGGTCTCTCTGCTAGACTCTCTGAAACAACCAGACATTTTCTTACCTTCCGGTTATCCTTGGTAATCTTTCACAAATGTGAATACCCTTAAAAGGGGAATTCCTCCAAAGCAATGATTAAGCTCCATGCTCCATGCTTCTGTAGAAGATAACCTAGCTATTGGTCTCTTTCTCTGCCTTCATAGAGTGCTGTGGCCCAACAATGTGAGTGTAATTACACTATCGCACTGTGCACCAGAGGAAAATGGCTAAGATGATAAATGTCATGTATTGTACCACACTTTTCAAAAATGCACTGGAGCTATTCCCCCATTTGCTCTGCTTGCCTACTTTTCAGAGGACAAAGGACAAGTTACAGCTTTAACGCTGACTCTGTCCTCCCTCAGAATCTAGCTCCTGGGGCACAAGTGGGACCCAGTTGATCCCGTGCCCAGAGCTCTAGCACAGAAGGAAGAGTTGCCTCTATCACTTTGCTTGTCTTCTTGAATAGGTTATAGGTTGTGTTAAGTGATCAGAAGGCTGAAAAATGATCTGTTTTCTCCCAAGGCCATTTTTGGAAGAGTCGCTCAAGTTCCTCTAGGCTGGCTGTTACAGTATGTAATCTATGCATTCTTGGTGGGCCTCAGTGATGTTCCCTGGTCTTCTCAACGTGTTCTAGACTGCTCTTCTTCCCACCTTCCTCATAAAGCCCACAGCCTCTGACACTTGCTCATTATTCTCCTCTACTCTGCCCTGTGCCAACCTTATCTTCAGAAGTACTAATCCTTCTGTCATCAGAAGTCTTGCTATTCTGATAATAAAGCAGATATCTGGTAATAAAAGCCTGGAAATGAAGCATGGATATCACTTTTTCTTTTACAAAGAGCACTGTGGGCCTATGTATAAAGGAAAGTTGGGTAGGTTGATAAGGCTACCAGTATGCTGGGAAAGACGGGTCAGGCTCAGAAAGTTGGGAAGTAATAGCTAAGTACAGCATCAGGAATCCTATTCCTTGAGCAACCAGGGTAGACCATACACTGTGGCAGATTTTCTCTCCCCTCCACTTCCCACACCCACCTTCACAAGGGCACTCCCACAAGGAAGGAAAAAGAAATGATGAGCCTTCTGCTTCTGTTGCTGCCCTACTTGCAGCCCTTTCTCATAGTTTATCTCACTTGAGCCTCAAATCCCCCACAGCTGTGGAGACTGGGGCCGAAGATATTAAGCCATGAACTGACAAAGTCCAGTGACTGACAAAGCAGAGGCTGAACCCCGCAGTTGTGGCGCTGTGCTCTCTACGGTACTATGCAGTTGATCGAGCTGCCACGCTAGACAGCAGGACCATTTGGAAAGCAGCCCAGGCCCTTTTCTCTTCGTTGAGAGCAATTATATGCCACTTGTGAGTTTATAAAAACTGTGGCAAATTAACAGGCAAAGACAATAGCTGCAAATAAATGAAAAACCCCACTTTTATTCCTTGACAAAAGTCAAAGCAACCTAGAAACACATTTGCAATGAAAGAAAAGCTTGCATTTATTTTTGCACTGCCAAAGAGCACTCACAGACTTTGGAACAAAAAATATCTCCTAGCCCAACTTTCTTGAAAGTCCAAAACCACAGCTAAGGAAATACGGGTTTTCTGACTTACTATTTTTATCGAGCAGCGATCTGCACCTGAACTGAAGCACATCAGCTTAGCAAAAGGGAGAAATAGACTTCTGAATGGGGTTAAAAGAATAATTGCTTTTTACAGTGTTTAACATTTTTTAAAATCACAATAAAGAGAAAACTAACATTTTCCCAATTTGTACATTCAGCTCATGCTATATGGGGATGCAGTATCAGAACCGGGAATTGGCTAAATACTTGTTTTTTTCTGCTATCTTTGCTGACTACAATGGGAGCATTTCAATAGTGTTGCTACCACTATGCTGGTACAAAGCTGTGTCCAAACTCCTCCAAAACTTATTATCTGGGGCACGATTGCAAGTTCCAAAAGTATTTGAAAAAAAGCAAAGAACTCTCAGGTGGTGAGTTCAGTTTTCTCATGGGGAGGGCTTTATGGTTACTCTCTGCATGTATTTCTTTTTGGTCAGATACTCAGTGTCATCATAAAAAGGACAAAATTTTTTTGAAAGCAGGAGTGTCTCGCTGTAGGATGTAGTTCCCATAGGTGGTACATTAAGGCCAGCTTGAAAATTGTCACAATTGTTCCCAGTTTCTATGATCCTATTTTACACAATACAGTATTTTAAATGTTGATGGGAAAAGGGTAGATATCCTTACAAAATTTCAGCACCTAAGGTGGTGATTAGACTCATCATCAACATAATCCTGTGTCTCTAGTTGTGCCAGCTTAAATAAATAGCACAATTGTACTTAAAACACAGGGTTGGGTGTCTTTGGCATCTCTGTACCTCATGCCCTCCTTCCACTTTCCCCGGGGCCTCCACATCTGGCTGAGATGGCCTTTCACAATGTCCTTTTCCCCACTCATTGTCTTAGAATTTCACTTAATCCTTGGCCTCCCTCCTTCACCAAAAGGGGGCAACCTTACATGGCTGGATCTGGGACTGGAAAGGAGCCAGTGCAGCAATGCTAGTGTGGTTTCAAGCAGTGACTCCTGAAATGAAAGTATGCTCATTTAATTTATTAATAGTGTCAGTAAAATGCCAGATAGGCTGAGAGGTTAAAACCTAAGCCTTGAATGAGCTTTGCATGTTATTTGTAAAGGGACAACAATGTCCCTTTACAGGATTACAATTGACAGGATAATAATATTTGTATTATTAAAAACAGAGTGGGTACCATTCCTATAGCTAAATGGATATCATTTGTATGAGAACAATTGAGTGGATAGCATGTGAATGAGGACACTAGGTGGAATATACAAAACAAAAGAATTCCAAACAAAAGTATAGAAACAGTTGATGGGTTTTGTTGATAAGCTCAATACCTCCTCCCTTGTCCTATATGATCCTCGGGTGTATAAAGTCTGAGGCCACTAATAAACGGGCTTTCTACCATCAGTCAGAGTCCACACATGTTATTATTGGCTCCGTGCAACAAGTCCACCACTGAAGGACAGCGACAGTTATTGATGCATTTTTATGGCTCATAATTACCTTTGTCTTGCTTTTACTGGGGAAAAAAAACTGTATTTGGCTGAGTGCTCAGTAATGATGTTTTTGTGTCTGATGAAGCCCAGCCCTCAGCAGGTGTAAGCATTTTCAGCCCTAAGCAGGAAAGTTTCTGGCAACTCTTTTTTTTGAGACAAGGAGAATGAATCAATAGACACAGACCTTTAACTTTATCCATCATTTGCTAAGATTGCTTAGTTCAAGCCTCTTCTCCCTGACTTCACATTGGCATCACTGACGGCTTTTTCCTTCTTTAACACACCCCGATTTTGAGAAAGTTAATATGGTGGCTTCTAAACCTTTGCTTTAATAATAGCTAATAACTATTACTGATGAGCCTGGACAAAGTGAAAAAACCTTATTTAGCATTATGATATTGCTAAGTGCTTCAGATTTCTAGAAAAGAGAAGATGGAAGTAATAAAATAGCTATACTTTTGAAACACTCAACAAACCAACACATTTACTCATATAAAATATTTCTTCAACTCCAATCATGCATGTGATACTGGAACCGAAGGTGTATAGAGCACAACAACTCAAGCCCAAAGCCAAACATCAGGTGTGTGTGTGTGTGTATTCTTGCTTTATACAGGTTTTCAAGGCTGGGTCTTTGAGAAAAGAGTCTTAGGTTATCACTTGAACAATTTTTATTACCTGTCTCTGACATCTCCTAGGGTAACAGAGCAGAGGACACCCAAGCTTCATGTTCCATGGATAAAGCCGACCCTGTGATAACAATCAGTACAGGAAAGGTGTTTGGAAGCACTGAAATGATACACCCAGTAGTGTTTATAATGCTTACACACAGCAGAAGATGGCAAAGCTACAAAACACTAGCTAAGTTACCTCTGGCATGATGACTGGGGAAGCAAGAAAACCATACGGTTGAGATCACGGGTCCTCCCCTCCCCACTGAACCTCCCTCCAGGGTTAGTTCCCTTTATGTCCGTTCTTTGCGGTAGGATGGCTGGCACTTGCTCCCTGCTGAAAGACAGATGGAGGGAAAAGATGTGCCGAGCCTCTTTGTTTTCTTTGTGGTCCTAAGGCAACAGGGAGCTGGAGCTGCTGCAGCCGTCCTGGCAGTGATGGCAAGCCCCTTGGCTCTGCAGCCTGAGCACTCCCTGGAATAGCTGTCAGTGAGACGGCCCAAACTTCAGATAGACTTCATTGCTTCAGTCAATGCCAAGTGTTGGATTCAGTTTCCTGGGGGACTGGGGGCTGGAACATGATGTCGGGGGCCCTCTGCAGAACAGAGATCAAAGGCAGTTTAGCGCAGTTGGATGTGCAGTGCAGAACGGGACTAGAAGCATGAAGGAAAGAGAACAGCCAGGAGTGAGTAGCAAGGGTGGCGCTGGTCCTTCCAGATCTCTCATCTGTGTCTGGGTCTCAGGTGGGGCGAACCCGGGAAGTGGGAAGGGCAAGAATAGGCGGCAGCTGCGCCCTGAAACAAGCAAGGAGATGATGAGGGAGCAAGCCAGCAAGCCGGGCCAGTGATTCTAGACTCGCTCGGCGCCCTGGGCAAGGGCTGGCAGCCCCCCGGAGGCGATCTGACTGCAGCCCTCGGTGGAGGAGCCAGCGGCAGTCTCCGCATCGGCGGCTGGGGCGCCTCCCAGAGCCCATTCGTGCTCAGAGCAGGCCTGGGACGACTCATCCTTGGCCTCGACGAGCTTGCGGGAACGGGTGTAGGCCAGGATCAGGCCTCCGGCCAGGCAGGCGTAGAAGATCATGATGAGCAGGATGTAGAGATAGGCGTCGTCTCCCTTGGCGCTGGTCACCTCGCGGCCAACGAAGGGGTCAGGCACAACCCCCATGCCCATGCTCGGGCCAGGGCCAGTGCCCAGGCCGCTGGCATTGCCCTGGTGATGCAGCTCCAGCAGCAAGCGGCTCAAGAGGGTTCTCAGCCCTTGGCTCTCGCTGCAGTTCATGGTTGTCAGGGAGTGGCACGGTGGCTCCAGGTCGGTGCTGACCTTTCCCCTGGGCAAGGGGAGGCGAGCGAAGGAGAAAGCAGAGAGCAGTGACCGGCGACAGCGATAGCAACGGCTGCAGCAAGTGGTGCTCCAGCTGGCACGCTGTGACGCTGGGGGAGCCCGGCGCCCCGTCCTTATCCCCTCACCCCCGCCCCTCCTCCCCTTCCCCACCACGCCCCCTCAGGCCCGCGGCCGCTCTCTTCTCAGGCTCCGGCTGTCTCGCTGCTCCAGGAAAAGGGGACAGCTGGTGGGGGGAGGAGAAGGGGACCGGGAGGAGGTGAGGCCGGGGGAGGGGCAGAAGGAGGCGGGGGTGGGGTGGGGTGGGTGGCAGGAATGCGCGAGGCCCCAGGCAGCCTAGGCTGGCAGGGCAGCTTATACGGGCCCAGCCTGGACCCTGGGCTCTGGAAAATAATTGCTTCCAAGTTCTGGTACGTTGGCGCTGCTGCAGCATCTGCCCCCCAACTCCTACCCAACACAGGCCACCAAGTGCGACCACAAACTTCCCTCCTTCAGCTTTCCCAAAACATGTTAGCATAGTCTTCTTTGTCTACATGGGAGTTCCTCTGTAGACAAGGACCTTGGCTATCTCTGTAGCCCTCATTACACCTCCCCTCCCTGCCCCAATCCTCCACCCCAGGTTCAAGGAGAGTATCTCATTGTGAAGATGGCCAAGTCAAGTTTAGTGACTGAGCGGCCAGACACGTTGCAAGAAGCGCTGTGCAGAACAGGACTCCCAGGGATGCACAACTGTCAAACACTCCCCTGGCAGTATCCCTGCACCAACTCCTATGACTCCAATTCAGTGGGGCAACACATCTTGGCACATGAGTGTACAAAATGATCCTATTGCCCTTGGTAATCCACCTTCCCAGAAGTGAAGCCAATTTCTTTCACTAAAAGGAGAAGAGACATTAAAAAGGCCTTTTGACTGTACCCTCTAGATGTCTCAGGATTTAGACCGTACCAGTTGTAGAGGCTATAGATGTGCCCACTATGGTCCCAGTTGGATGGGCACCCAGCTATGTGCCCCTCTGGGGCTTCGGAATAGTCTTGGTCTGGATGGCCTGTAGGGTGGCCATTTTTTCTTCCTTTTAAAGGAAAACAAGGCACTAAGGCAAAGATCATTCCAGACTGTTAAACTGGACACACACTGAGTTTCTCAAAGCAAAAGGTTAATGTTCAGATAATAAGGAAAGTGGGGGTGGGGGAGGATGAGATAATACTGGTAAGATTTGGTTGCATATTATCACCAAATAACAAGAGAAGGAATGAAAAAATTGCATGTCTTTATGTATGTTTTGAAAACCAAGCTATCTATTCAAGGGCATTCAGTCCAGGGCCAGGCATTTTTATTTGAACGGCAGATTTACAGGAAGAAGAAGAAGAGGAAGAAAAAGAGAGAGAGAAGGAGAATCTACCATCAGCTAGTTCACTCTCCAAATAGTTGCAACAACTGGAGCTGAGCTGATCTGAAGCTAGCAGCTGCTTCCGGGTCTCCCAAATGGATTCAGGGGCCCAAGACTTTGGACCATCACCAGTGCTCTCCCAGGCCATAACCAGAGAGCATCAGGGACATGAACTGGCACCAATATGGGATATTTGCACTTGCAAGTGGAAGGTTAACCTGTTAAGCCACTATGTCAACCCCCCAAAATGTTTTCAGTTTCCTCTGTCCGGGTCATCCTTTGTCCCTCCACCCACTCAGGGGCTTCAGCCATACTACATGTTGAAGTGAGATTGATACCAAACTGTGTCTGGCTTCTCAAATAGAGCCTAGCTTCACAGCCTCCTCACAAGCCTCTCAGTCACATTCACCTGCACCTGCCTGCTGACTCCATCATAATCACTAGGCCGGAGTGTTCTTGCCTCAGAATAGCTCAAAGTAGAATCAGTCTGGTGATTTGGTATGATGAACATCAGAGAACACAGCTAGAGGATATTTCAAAGTAGTTCCAACGAGGTATATCACTGTTGAATTGAAAGACACTCTAAATCTGTTAAAACATGCCCAGAGATACCAGGGGCAAGCTAGACGAAGAAGCCCTTTCAGTATAGCATACAAATAATCCTTTCAACATCTCTGTACTTTTCAACAGCCTTGTTCGCCAGGAGGATTAGTCCTGTTTTCAGAAGCGGAAAGAGGTTCAGAGCGGTCAGTGAGCAGGACTTGAAATATAAAGCTCGACCTTGCACCCAGTCCTTACATGTTACTCCATCATGTGAGTAGAACCCTTGAGGTGCCTTCATTTCTCCACCTTTCCCTCTTCGGCAAAACTGTCCCCTGTTAAATATCCCAGTGACCTACCAGCCAAATTCAAGGGTCTCTGCTCAGTTTGTATCTTTGACTTCGAAGATGAATTTGATACCGTGATCCACCCACTCCTTCTTGTAGCTGTCCTCCCCCTCGCTTTTCCTGGCATTGCGTTCTCAAGTTTCTCTTCTTATCTCTCCAGGACTCATCATTCTCTGACTCCTTTGCTGGCTCCTCTTCTCTCCTCTGCCCATTAACTGTACGAATCCCTGAAGCTTCCGCTCCCCCTCCCCACCCACCCACCCTGTCCCAGATACTCTGTTTACACACATTTCTTGCATTTCTTTTGACAGTGTCTCTTTACGTGGTTTCACCTATCTGACATATATTTAATCAGACTTGAAAATTTCTAGCTCAAGTGTTTTCCCCCCGCCCCCCTTGGCAGAACTTTCAAATATATCTGCTTCTTCCTTTTTGGTTTTATTGCCATGAGTTTAATCCAAGCTCTCATTACCTCAGGTCAAATACGCAAACTGAGAGTCTCCTGGCAGATCTCCATGCCTGTAACCCAGTCCATGGTACGGCGAGAATAGTTCTCCAAATTCATTGCCATCAAATCACGTCTGCATTCTGAAACCCAGAGTTTCCCCTTATAAGTTCTCCATTGGAGCCCAATTCTCTTGGCTGGGTCTCCAGTCCTTGCCACTAAGATATATCATCTCCTCTTTGAATTTGAAAAAACAGTATGTTCCCAGCATTCTTCAATATTAAGCGGTTTTCTTTCCTCAAAATGTACTGACCAAAGGATGCCTTGCTCAGTATTCCTGTTAGTGCCCTCAGACTCTTCACACTGTAGTCCTGCCCGCTGGTGCTATCCTAACTCAGATTGCAATGTTCAGCACAGAAACATTGGACAAAATGGAAGAGTAGCAAGTGAAAAATTACTAATAGTATACGCACGCACACAGAGTGTTCTATAACCTATCTTTCTCACTTAACAACATTGTGATTTTCCCATATCATTTACTGCTTTTTAGAACATCATTTTAAAATCTATATATATTCCAGACTATCACTCTATCATAACTTATTTAAATTAGTCCTTGTTATATCATTTCCGTTATTTCCATGTTCTCACTATTAAAGATAACATTTTAATGAGCACATGCAAGGACACTGCTAGTTCCACTAAAATAATTACCAGAGAAAAAGTAGAGATCTGCTGTGGGGAGAGGTAGATGTGTAGGAGATAATGGAAACAGAAATGAAAATGGTCATAAAATGGAAATGGCACAAATCTCAGGAAAAAACAAAACAAAACAGGAGTGTGTGTAGCAAGATTCTGGCTTGTTTTCACATTAGGGGCTTCTGGGCATCCTTTTAAATCCCATTTCCAGGCCAGCCCTCAATGGCTGAGATGACAACCCTTTCACTTCAAGACTCAATGAAATGGTAAATCTATCAGAGAAGGACTGGTTCTCATTCTTCCCCATCCTTCCAACCTCCAGCAGCATGACCGCCCCACACCTATCAAATAAGAATGTTTATCCATCGTCTAGAATTCATTTGAATTCCCAAAAGGCAATTACGTATGTTGCCAAAGATTTTAGAAAGTCTGGGGAACGATTTTAATCCGTGCCAAGGTTCTTTTATTTTTTCAAGAGGACAGTTGAGGTGCCATGGACTAGGAAATGTTTTCACCATTTGTTGAGACTGTGAGTGCTTCTTGCCAATAATGCAAGTTCATGAATGTGGGTCGAATAGAATTGTGTTGAGTTTGGCTAGTTGCCAAAGGATATGTGCAGATGGTTAGCCTTGTAGGCATCCAGAAGGCTGGAAGTGCTGCAATGTGGCCTCAAGGGGTGGGGTGAAGAAGGCTTTATAAAGTACCAAGTAGAGACTAGGAAATATTCATTCGTTCATTCTTTCACCAGATACTAGTTTTATTGCTCGCTACTTTCTGCAAGGCATTGTACTAGGTCTGAGACACATCAGTGAACAAGTTGCATCGATGCACAATCTAGGCCTTTATAACTCTCATAGCTACTTCCATGTGAACTAGAGATAAACAGGGAATGTCAGGACATGGTGCTGGGAAGGAAGGTCAGTCAAAATTCTGGTTTGGAAAGAATCATGACTCTGATCCAAGCTCTAATCACCAAAGTGCAAAGCCTTATTTGAAAGAGAAGACTCCAGGTGGTCTGAGTTCAATGTCTTCTGCCATGCTGTAACATTCCTTACACGCACCCAGTAGCACTACCTTTATATAAGCCACCACTACAGATCTAGCCTCAAAAATGAATGAGAGTGGGGCCCGGCACGGTGGCGCAAGTGGTTAAAGGTCCTCGCCTCGCACGCCCGGGATCCCATATGGGCGCCGGTTCTAATCCCGGCAGCCCCGCTTCCCTTCCAGCTCCCTGCCTGTGGCCTGGGAAAGCAGTCGAGGACGACCCAAAGCTTTGGGACCCTGCACCCGCGTGGGAGACCCGGAAGAGGCTCCTGGCTTCGGATTGGCATAGTATCGGCCCGTTGCGCTCACTTGGGGAGTGAATCATCGGACGGAAGATCTTCCTCTCTGTCTCTCCTCTCTGTATATCTGCCTTTCCAATGAAAAAATAATAAAAATAAATCTTTAAAAAAAAAAATGAATGAGAGTGAATGGGTTTTACTCTGGACACTTAGTCAAATGTGGGTAAGCTCTATGGGACGATAACTTTTACTAAAAGTTTATGTATGCCAAGCACTAGTCTACACATATTGTGTCACTTCATCCTTTAGAACAACCCCATGAGGTAGCTATCACCATAAAGATGAGG